ATTTTCATTCCAGCACGATGAAAATTTTCTGTTAGTGTTTGTGGTGATGGTACACGTTTTTTATCCCAAACAAATACATATCGTTTACCATCATCACTATTCATTGAATAACCAGATGATAAATGAAAACCAGTACATTCAATATCATATTTTGAACATTTATCAATAAATTTTTTTAATGAATCTTGTGCATTTATTGCATCAGTATATTTCATTGCTGAACCTAAATAACCAAGTGTCCATTTTGGTGCTAATGGACAACGACCAGTTAATGTTGTATATTGTTCAATAATATGTTCAATTAAAGGACCATTTATAAAATAATAATCAAGATCAGGATCTTTACTTTCAAAATATAACATATCACCAAAATAATTATCTATTTCACAACCCATATCAAATGTACAATCATAGGTTGTATCATAAAATAAACCAAATGCATGATCATGTCGTAATGTTATATAAAATGGAATATGTTTATAAAGTGGATCACTATGTTCAGCATTATAACCAAAAGCATCCATATTTCTCATTCGATATCGACGAAATTTTTTATTAATTGGGCCACTTTTTTCACCTAAACCATAATAATAATAATCATCATCTGATGAAGGTCGTGATAGTGTATGACGAAATTGTTCCGTTGAATAATTATATTGATAACTACAAACAGGATTATCTTGTAAAAGAATATCAGTATTTACTACCCATGTTATTGCAAATGGTTTATGTAGATGAATTTTACAATTAAGATTGTCAGTAGATATTATAACATAATTTTCTTCTTCAGTTACATTGAAAATACAAATATCATTACTATAATTATTTAGTGGGATTTCATGACGAAGACGACCTTCATATGGAACATCATTCGTTTCTTTATCAACAATAGCCCATGTACGTGTAGTAATTGGTGTTCCTTTAGGCCAAACTCGAACACGAATAATATTATTCGTTAAAACTGTAATTATATATTTTGTAGGTATGTTTTCTTGAGAAAAAATGACACTATTTATTTTATCGTCTCGTATCCATTGCAATGTTACACGTTCAATTGAATCTTCAAAATACATTATCTAGAAAAGAAAAAAAGAAGAAATCACCGACAAAAAAAAACAAGTAAAATTCTAAGTTTAATCATCGGGATATCGTGTTCCATTGATTGTCCATGATGTTGGTGTAAATTGTCTTACTAGCGTTTGTACACGTTTTAAATGTTCCTCTTTCAACATTTCACTAACACTTGTTAACTTATTTTCAACTGCATATGATCCAACTACACCTGCTGTTTGTCCTATTGAAAATTCAACTGGATGCAAACGAGTAGCTGAATTAACTAGAAATGTTTGTGCCATTGTTTTACCAACTACAATTAAGTTATCAATATCACGATTTGTCATTGCACGTAAAGGAATATAGTATGGAAGAATAGGATAATATTGTGTCATATATGATGGATAAGTACATTGAATCATAGAATGAATATCAGCATCATAAGCACCAATACATAAATGATCATAAAAGATATGTCCATGTAAATCACGTGCATGACCACTTATAGTAGTGATATTCATTAGAAAATTTTCAAAACCAATTGATCGACGTGCTTCTCGTAAATACGGCATTTTTGCGAGACCATGACAAGTACCTGCTGCTGAAACTGATCGTACAAGTACTGTTCGATTAGCCCATTTTGTAGGTGCATTTTGTCGATACCAATAATGATAACCATATGCCTGTCTTTCAGCATTTTGAATAGCATCTAAATTAACACCACCTTGCCATTGATTAGTGTCACGTTGATGTTCTGTATCAGATGGTGATAGAAAAAAGAATTCTCTTCTATAATCGTTTCCACCACCCCAATTCTGTATTGTTAAATCATTGACAGCAACAGTATATGAATCTAATGCAGATGTATTTACTCTTCGATATGTCCATATACGTTCCCATGGTAAATTCAAAAACGAATAATTTGCTCCTCCAACTGGTGGAGGTAGTTGATTAGGTGGTTCATCAATAGGTTTCTCTTGTAATTGTTCAAGGAAATCAAATGTAAATGATTGACCACATGTAGAATTTCCTATACCCGATGTATCACCATCAAATTTTTCCATTAAACCTTGTAAATAACTTGCATTCGACAATACTAATACTTCACCCCATGAAGTACCTTCAATGACGAATGAAATATTTGTAAATGATAATTGAGTTTTTGTAAACCATGTACTATCTTTTTCTGAATACCAATCAGGTAATTCTTCAGATAAGAATCGGCAACGTTCAGATGATGATTGACGTAGTGTACGTTGAATTGCATCTATCTGAATTATACGACGACCATTTACATCTTTCTTTATATGTTTAATGACAGTATTATAAAATATTCGTGTCTTATTAAGTAATGGTAATATTACTTGAGAATGAAATAATTCAGGAATAGAACATTTTGGTGATACCCAACAACGACCGGTATCGCCTAAGACATTAAGCATTTCAGAAAAGAGTGGATTTTGATTATTTAACTGTTGATCAATACTACCAACATTCAAGGTAAAATTCGTGTCTTTATCTGTTACTGTATGAAATGCAAAATCAGGTGCACTTAATAATTCAGCTGTTAATTGTCCACCAACCCAGTCAGTTGGTTCAAGTAGACATACGTGTGTATTAAGTTTTGAAGCAGATAATACTGCACCTAGTGCTGATGTTGTACCACCAACAATCAATAGTTGACAATCATCAATAGTATGAATAGATGAACTGATGGAATGAATTGTAATGAAAAGTATTGAAATAAATGCAAGCATTTTTTTTCTTACTAATCTAAAGGCTCTAGTAGAAGAAAACTCATTTAATGAGATTGTATCAGATAAAAACAGCATTAAAGACAAGATAAATTTTAGCAATCTTTTTTGAACATGATTATTTATTTTACTATTAGTAATTAATACCATACGTTAACATTGAATTATGATTGATAGCAAAGAAATCTATTCTATTATGAAAAGACATTACTTAACAGATGTATGAATCTCTACTAAGTTTTTTTTTCTCTAACTCGAAGACCTTTCCATATGTTGATAAATAAATATACATAAAAGTAGTTTATAATCATAGAACATCATCTATTATCAGATTGTTTTCTTTTCTTTTCATATTTATTGCTTCTATAATTAATACAACACATCACGATTTCGTCTGATGAATATGAATAGCTTGATGTATATATCATAATATATAGAATACTATTTTCTTTATATTTGTCAAATCTGACAAGAGAAAACCTAATTATTCATGTTTTTTGATATGTCATCATATATTTTAATACTATAGTGAATGGCAAAACATACACAAACTATACTATCGAAGTGAAGAAAAACATCAACTAGGTAAGTTATATATAAAAAATAATAAACTAATTAAATACGTACTTGTTTTCATTAGCAGAGTTCACTATATAGAAGGTAACTATTTATACCAACAAATCAGATGATATAATATATTAAGAAAAATGAAAATAAAGAGATGAAAGATATATGAATACTTTTCATTTTTTTTCACTATCTTGTAATATCAAGACTACACCTTGTATTATTAGACCACGTGATAAGAATAATAACCGATGCATTCTTTTTGTCTACTCATTTTATTTATCTCATTTATTTATCAAGATACGACTTTGTTGACTTGAGTAAACTATAGTTTGCAAATATACATCAAATATCAGTTTTGTGATGTATTATGGCATATTTTAAAAATATTGTAATTAATATATTTTCAAATTTCTCAAAAATAATTCTTTATTTTTTTTTCTATAAATGTCAAAACTTCGTTTAGTCTTAATGATTATACTCTCCATTTCTGTTGCTAATTATAGCTACCATTATAAGTGCTACATAATTACTCGTTAGTACAAAGATTATATCTTCTATTTTTTTTTCATTCAATCGTCAGAAGTAATGTAAGTATGCTTCTTCATATTCCGGCAAAATGAAGTACCCATTTGATAAATACAATCTAAACTTCATAATAAAAGATTAAATGCCGAATTAATCCAGTTAACCATTTGGATACCATTTATCATTGATTGTTTATGATTACTTATTTTGAACTGTATATGATCCAGCTACTGACCATCATAAATGATATGTCCATGTAAACCACACGCAAAAATACTAATAGTAATGATGTGATAAGTAATATTTAAGTAGCTTGTACACTCTGTAAATATTAATAATCATAACCATATGTTTTTCTTCCTGAAATACTATAGTGCAGAATTGTTTTTATCAATTATTTGATAAAATAAATAAATAGTTGAAAGTAAAAGAATATAAATTACAAATTAATTTTGACATTCATTCGATTCAAATGCTGTTTTAATGTAAAAAACGTGTTTCAATTTTTTGATATCACAAAGAAAAGTAAATATCCGTCTCTTCGTTAGACTTTCCTCAATGTTGAATCGATTTTGCATTTTTCAACAAGTAATATTTGCTGATCAACAATAAAATAAATCGTTTTTTCTTGTAATTTAATTATTTATTCTTTTCCTTTTCGATGTACTTCATTAATTCTACAAGCACTACCATTTGAATATTAATAAAACATTTTATTATTCTACGTATGATCAATCTAAAGCCGCAAAACATCAAGTACAGTCGTTTACTTTTGCTGTAAGATTCGTTTCTACGACAATTAGTAGAATATACTCAGTAATATTTATCTGTAGAAGTAGAACAAATCTGATTCATTTATCATATTCTATATCATAATACTCTCGTGCTTCTCTATCTAATGTATGGGCTCTAACAGAATAGACATAATATTTTTCAATATGTCATATAAGTACTTGTTACATATTTTATACATTGAAGACAATAATAAGAGCTTACAAACTCTTGCCTCCGCTTGAGAAACAATATTTAGTAGCCATAAGCAACCCAGTATTTTGTTAGATTTTCCTGTTGCCAAAGTTATGTAGACTGATGACTGATTATTTAGACATGCCAAATTTAGTCCACATACTATCCTATGACGAGTAGCTATGGTTTGGCTAACTATTTACGACAGAACGATTTCTGTTATTTGCGCTAGAGAACGAATAGAGTATAGTATAGCATATATATCCTTCCGGTAGGTCTTATGTTGAGATTTAGAAATATCTAATTATATCAAATAAATTTGACTGAAATAAGAATAGATATCAACGATGTTATATAAGATTTACTACGAATTTTCTATCATTACTAGTACCAATAAGATAAAGATTAGTTATCATCAGTTTTCCTATATATTAGAAAATAAAATATTTTCTTAAACGTAGAAAATAATAACAAAATGACAGACGATATGAGATCGTTGTTTTCTTTCTATTTTCTTTGTTTCTTATCTCATATCATCAGATTTATAACTTTTATTGTATAATTACGTAAATAAACTAATAGAAACTGATGCAAATTTCTTTTTTTTTCTGTGAATCTGTCATATAATTTAAATCTAAAAGAAATGAATCATCATTTATTGTCTTTTTTTCATGTCATATATTTTCATCAATATCTTGACTTTCTATAATTTTCTTTTCCATTTTTATTATCATAGATATACATATATAATTTTTTGAATAATGAATACATTTCTGCTATAGTATGATAATGTGTCACTATCAAGTCTATGGTAAGACTATTTTAGAAATAGCAATATAACTAATGTAAATATGTATCCATATGTTCTTTTAGTTCTCTTCGTTCTGCTATTAGCGGAAATTAGCATCAAGAATTTGGCAACAGCTAAAGAACAAAATTCCAATGATATTCATCTAGAAGCACCGCATTTAAGCGATAGAACAGAAAGCAATCGACCGCCTATTAAACCATCAACAAATGTTCCTCAGAAAAAAATAAAACAGAAAATATCTAATACCAAAAATAAAATTAATCCATGCAAAGGTACATATGTAAGAACAAATGGAACAACTTGTGGACTCAAAGAAATAATGATTGGTCGTTGTTATGAATATCAATTCGTTAAATATCCATCTGCAACAAATCAACAGTAAGAAGATATATTCTATATATTTTTAAGCAAAATACAAAACAATTAACTTTATTAATTTTTTGAAGTAATATCAAAAATTGTACAGCACTCTATGAAACATTTGAATCAGCAGTTCGATATAAATCACATTGTAATATGAATATGAGTACATATAAAGATTATTTTGATTTAGCACTTGCTGGTGTACATGTCATCAATCGAGTAATAAAATAATTAATGAAATTATTGATTTATTTTGTATACTAGGCAATGTTTTGGAGTGGAACTTATGCTGTTACTCATGCTTATAGTGGTAGCGGTTTAAATTATATAACTTTAGAAGATACACTTGCAGCCGCTATGGTTAATGGTCTTGTTTGGTGTGGAAATGAAAATCATACTGAAGGGTTCGATTTTAATAGTTGTCCAAACAATTGTAAAGATAATCGATGGGCAGATTTAGCTTTTTGGGGATTAGCATCAAAAACTGTAATATACAGAAAGTATAATTTCATTTCAATAAATTTTTCTTTTTCCTTGGTTATTAGTTTGCTCAATTAGCAGCTGGTGAAATCTTTGTTATCTTAAATGGAAGTCAATTACATGGTAGATCAGCATTTCGTAATAATTCATATTTTTCTGATTTTGAACTTCCAAATTTTCGACGACATGGCGAATATCGTGTTACAAAGATCAATGCACTTGTTTTACATTCACCTGATGAAAAAGTGATGTAAGTATAATTCATAAATTTTTTTTGTAAATAATGTTTATTTGTTTTTATTAGGGAAAGATGTGGTGAAAAAAGTCTACGTCTATTAGAAGATTTAATTACAAATAATGGTTTTGAATATGCATGTAAAGATGATCCTGAAGAATTAATTTTAATTATGTGTGGTAATCAATGGGAAGCACGTGAATGTCAAATAGCTCGACGTGTTTTAAGACAAGCATGGGATACAAAATTATATGGAACATCAAATAGCAATCAGAAATCATTATCGTTACTTATGATTTTTTATTTTTTTTTAATCAAAATTGTAGTTTTTAATAACAAAGTTTAGTAAAAACTTATATTCAAATAAAAATAGATGAAATTAAACAGTGCGAATAGAACAAAAATCAATTATAGTACAATCTGAAAGATTTTTCTCATTTGATTTCGATCAATAACAAATGTAACAAGAACATAACTATTGATCTCAATTATGCTTTTATTTGACAAGTAATCATAGATTGACATATGAAAGAGTGAATTGATTATGATGAATTACTCTAATATATAAATATATTTTTGTTATTAATGCTGTCGAAATAATGATCTGATGTTGGTAGAAGATATGAATCAAGAAAAATAGTATATCGTTATTAACAATAGAATACATGTCTTATCGATCAATGAACTATATTGAATACAAACTTTTACTTTCTATCCAATATTATTGATTTAAAGACAATTGTAAACATGTATCTATACGCACAGGCCGAAGACGAAAAACAGGCACTGCCTGTCAATTGATTTAACTGTAATGTTAAATGATAGTAAGATAAATATATTCGT